TTGCCGGCTGGGGCTAAACCACGACAGTGAACTATAGGGTGATAATGTTTTGTATTTTTCCATTCTGGGGAGGCTGAAGCATCACAATTGGAAATATTTTTTCCTGAAGTTCCTGTTAGTGTCCTTTTTTCTCTGGATGGGTTGCACTAAAAGGGACTTCGATGTTCCTGAAGAAACAGGAGTTTGTTGCTGTGTGATGCAAAGTTCTTTCTGGACTTTGAACATTTGAAGTCCATCTCCATATATGCATTTCAGTGCTTCTTGAAAAAATCACGTTTTAAAAGAACAGCTAACAATAACATCAAAAAAAGATATCCATCCAAAGGAAACCTTTACCACACTGCTGCAAAAGTTATTCTGATTTTTTTTTTCCACTGTGTGATTCTAAAATACTCTGTTTTTTACTCTTCACTGCAATCCATTTGAATTGTTACAGTTTAAACTCTGTGCCTTGACATCATGGCCCATACCTTGAATATTTTCCCTGGATCATAAAAGATTGGACATGAAGTCTTTCTTTTCCGGATACTACTTATTGTCTTATTCCTGCCATCTTTCTTCAGTCTTTTTTCTTACCAAAATATTATTGGACGGATACTTTATATAGAACCATGACTATTTTACTGTTGTCTTCATTTGAAATTATGCGGTTTTTTCTTGGCTTACTTGTTTACTCTTGAATTACTTGCATACTCAAGGCCTCATAAAATCCTTATTTCAAAGTTTGTATGAGATAAGTAAGGCAGATGTATTACTTTTTTAGAATATGTGGGAAAAATTTGAATAGTGGCTTTTTTACAGGCCAGTGTTCTTTGTCTTTATAAATTCTGTCAGAGTAAGATGCCATGTATTGTGAGAATAGCAGATATGTTTTATGGAATAGGTCTGAAGAGACTGGAAAATAAACAAGACTAAAATATACTGATGAACTTAAAATATATAAATGCTGACAAATTGTATCACTGTTTTAATATAATTTAAAGAATTAAAAGAGGCAATGTAAAATTAATGGTCTTATTTTGCAGTCACTGTTGGATGAGGTATTTTTCATCAGAAGTAATTCTGCAGGTTTCCTGCTGGGTTGGGTTATAGTGTTTCCAGAGTAAGTTTAATTAACTCATGTTGCCTCCATCTTTGATTACTGGCTGTACTGATAAACATCTTCATAAAGTAGTGTTAGGAAAATAATATAAGATTTCTTTGTAAAACTTTCTGAAATGTGTGAATTGAGACAGTGTACATTCTGCATTAAAATATATTAAATGTTTTGATGTAATTTTCTTGTTATAGATTCAGAATATGAACAACATAATCACTTTTCCATTGGACAGTTTGCTGAAGGGAGATCTGAAAGGAGTAAAAGGGGTATGTTTATCTTCTTATTGCACCAACAATAATTTTATATATAAATAAAAACATTTAGCCAATGTATTAATCTTATTTGATGGCAGGCATGGGATACTAAAGTAATATATTCGCTTAATAAACAAGAGAATTTTTTTGGTGAATTGAGTCATCCCTTCTGTTTGTGGTTTCATATACAGCATGCTTTTGACTATGTATACAAAACATTTGAGAAGCTTTAAAAGCAGCCCTGAGGTGTAGAAGATAAGCAGAGAAAGAGGTGTAAGAATTACTAATTTACAAATATTTATTTAGTTGAGGGGGGTAGTACTTTATTTAAATGGATCATTATTAATGTATTTATTTAGCATTCTAAACTTACCTGGAAGTATATGGATTATTATTATCCATTAGACTGCATGAGCATAGGATTCTTCTTAACAAAGCTGAGATGTATTTGTGCCCTGAGGATATTTCCTATTTGAAATAATAACAACTTAGGACTCAAATGATGATATGTTTATAATAAATTTCAAAGCCTATAGCCAGCAATCTTGTTTGGCTTATGCTTCGTTTACTACTGAGCAAACAGGAAGCAACTGGCAGCTATTGTTCTAGGACACTGAAGGAAGAAAAATGTACATAGACTAAAAATGTTCTATGTAAATTACTGGAGGATAAAGTAAGATGGGCTTATCGTCTTTGTGTTGCTTCCTTGCCACATTTCACTCTTGTTCTTCTCTTTTTCTAGGTCAGAATAGATACATTTATTACAATACAGTGTTGCCCCATGTTCCTGACTTGATAAAATAATCAAACGCTGCTTTAATTAATTTTATAATTGTTGAAATAACTAGCTGTCTGTAGTCGCAAAATTTTTCCAGCGTCTGACAGTTAACGGTATTTTTTTGTAGTTGGCTGCTCTCTTGAACTCCAGCAAAATTTCAACTGCTGCTTTTTTAGAAATCAGCGAAATAATTTTACAACTTGTTAATTCTATCCAAATTTCCTTCTTCAGAGGGAAAAAATAAAGGAATTTGGAACCTAACTAATTCAAAATTCTCATAGAATTAGTTATGTCAAGCCGTATGGCCTATAATCCCATTGAGTCAGTAGGAAATTGATTTCTTTAACTTTAGTGGGATGAATCAAGTTCTTAGCCAAGGTTATACCACAGCCTCATGACAGGCACTTCTTTCCAGTGGAGCCAGAGATGGAACGATGAGAAAACAGCTGATTTGATTAATTGCATAGTGTGCTCTTGGGATAACATGTAGTTATACCTTTTGAGGAGTAGAATGGAGCTGTATAAAGCATAGTAAAAAGCAACCTAGAGACGCTTTTAAAAACAAGAGTGTATTAATTCTGTGTACAAGATTGCTTTTCTTATGTGCAAGATTGCTTTTACATAATCCTTATGTGAGCTATTCAAGAAACAGTGGAGTCCCTTATTCTAGTAGGTGCTGCAGATGGCCAAGGTGTGTCTTCATTGTTAGATCCACAGTATTTTTTGTGTAAATAACTTTTTTTCTTTTTCTTGACAGGACCTGAAAAAACCCTTTGATAAAGCTTGGAAGGACTATGAAACAAAAGTGTATGTATCTTTTATACTTCCTTTTTTAAATAAAGGTTTAACTGAAATCTATAAAGATCATTATTTAATGTTAAGGTCCCAGCCAGAAGTCCTAGCTGAGAAACTGAGCTCTTTTTTTTTTTCCATTTTTTTCCCTTTTTTTCATAAAACCTGGAGCTGTGTGAAAAGACAAGTGCATAGACACAATCATTTCAAATTCTGTAATATACAACTTACTTCATGAGTAAATTATCTTTTGTGTGTATGTGTACTGTGACAGTTAGTGTCTGTGGTAGTCCTCTTTGCTTAATGAAGTTCCAAGTAACAAGCATAATCTCCCAGTGCATGTTCTTCCACTGTATATTCTTCCACTTCAATTGAGAAAGCTTTGCTTTAATTAGGAAATAATTTTTAAAAATTTTTAATAGTACCCATATTACTACCCTGTAATCTACTACATGTAAAAGTCCACTTTCCTTTGTGCCTTCCTCTACTTTCGGGGGACACTACTATGTAAAAGGAAAAGTTAGTCACCCTTTGTTTTCACCCTTAACTACCAAAAGTGCAGCAACATAATTGTACTTGATATCCTTTTAAGAATCTGTTGTTGGGTTTTTTTTCTTCTCATCGGTGACTAATTCACTATAATTAGCAAGTTTCTTCAGTCAGAAGAGCACAGAAGAAATTATATACTTTATGCCTGAGTGTTTTCAAATGTCTTAACAAAAAATACCAAGAATATGCAAGTCAAGCTTTAGTTCTGGATTTGTTAGCCTAAAACCCTTGTAGTGACTCTGTAATACCTCTGGCTCTAGCGGATCTCATGATACTGTGCCCAATGCCAAGGTCTCTAAGGAAGACCTTATTTGATGCTGAGCCTTACCAACAAAATGGTAAGGCTAGTGGGGGTGTGAGTTTGTTTGCTGCTACCATTAGAAAACTGCCCATGATTCTGGATCAGTCCAGTAACCTTAGTAAACCATAGTTCATTAGTGTGGTTTATTTAAAGAAATGGGTATTTTCTGCATTTCATGCCAAGATTGGATGCTCTCAGCAAGTGTCTTGTGTACTAGAAGAGGATGAATACCTGTATGAATCTTGTTAACTGTGTGTCATGTTGCGTGTTCAGCCCAGTTTACTATAAGGGTACTGAGGGTGCTGATGGAAGTGCTCACCAAGCCACCTGCCATCATTTATCATCAGTCCTGGCTAACCAGGGAGGTCCCAGATGACTGGAAGTTAGCAAATGTGACACCTATCTACAAAAAGTTCTGGAAGGAGGAACCAGAGAACTACAGGCCTGTCAGTCTGACCTCGGTGCCGGGGAAGGTTATGGAGCAGATCATCTTGAGTGGCATCACGTGGCATCTACAGGACAGCCAGGTGATCAGGCCCAGTCAGCATGGGTTTAGGAAAGGCAAGTCCTGCTTGACCAACCTGGTGTCCTTCTATGACAAGGTGACCTGCTTAGTGTAGAGGAAGACTGTGGATATTGTCTACCTAGACTTTAGTAAAGCCTTTGACAACATTTCCCATAACATTCTCCTGGAAAAACTGCCTGCTCATCGCTTGGACAGATGTACCCTGGGTAAAAAACTGCCTGAGTGGCTGGGCCTAAAGAGTTGTGGTGAGTGGAGTTAACTCCTGTTGGTGACTGGTCACAAGTGGTGTTCCCCAGGGCTCTGTTTTGGGGCCGGTCTTGTTCAATAGCTTTATTGATGATCTGGATGAGGGAATTGAGTGCTCCCTCAGTAAGTTTGCAGACGACACCAAGTTGGGTGGGAGTATTGATCTGCTCGAGGGTAGGAAGTCTGTACAGAGGTATCTGGGCAGGCTGGATCGATGGGCAGAGGTCAACTGTATGAGGTTTAACAAGGCCAAGTGCTGGGTCCTGTGCTTCGGTCACAACACCACCACACAATGCTATAGGCTTGAGGAAGAGTGGCTGGAAAGCTGCCTGATGGGAAAGGACCTGGGGATGTGTGTTGACAGCCAGCTGAATATGAGCCGGCAGTGTGCCCAGGTGGCCAGGGAGGCGAGTAGCATCCTGGCCTGTATCAGAACTAGTGTGGCCAGCAGGAGTAGGGAAGTGATCGTGCCCCTGTACTCGGCACTGGTGAGGCCACATCTTGAATCCTGTGTTCAGTTTTGGGCCCCTTCCTGCAAGAAGGATGTTGAGGTGCTCATGCGTGTCCAAAGAAGGGTAATGAAGCTGGTGACTGCAAGAAGGACGTTGAGGTGCTCGTGCATGTCCAAAGAAGGGTAATGAAGCTGGTGAAGGGTCTAGAGCACAAGCCTTATTGGGTTGTTGGTCTCTTCTCCCAAGTAACAAATGATAGGACAAGAGGAAATGGCATCAAATTGTGCCAGGGGAGGTTTAGAGTGGGTAGTAGGAAAACTTCCTTCACTGCAAGGGTTGTCAAGCAGTGGAACAGGCTGCCCAGAGAGGAGGTTGAGTCGTATTTAAAAGACATGTAGATGTGGTGCTTAGGGACATGGTTTAGCAGTGGACTTGGCAGTGCTAAGTTAACGGTTGGACTTGGTGATCTTACAGGTCTTTTCCAACCTAAATGATTGTATGAGTCTGAGCAAGTTGTTTGAAGGTGCCTGATGCATAGTATAAACAGCTGTAAAACTGGTTTTCATAACAGAGTTTTATATCCATCTAAATTAATCAGATGAGTCAACAAAGCTCAGCACCTAAAATCAAACATAATTAATTCTGGTACCTTGTACATCTTCAAGTGGTTTAGTGCTCTACATGAGGAACAGTTGTTTCCTGGGTTGACCCAGTCAATTGTATCAGCACAGCTGAAGTAGAATTTTGTAGTCGGTTTTATTCCTTATTCCAGTATTACCTGGACTGTGACTGTTGGTTGAGTTTCGTGTCCCATATCCAGCATCTTTGATCTTCAGGGGTAGTGCTGCGTATATCAGACCATTTCTGATTATACACATCCAGAAGAATCACATGTGATAACACTGTTTAACATAAATAACTTGCAGATCCCCAGTCACCTAGATTGGCTGAAGAATCTAGCACTATTTTTTTATATTTTTTTAGTTGCACAAAATTACTATGATTCTCTGGTGCCCACTGAGTTGGTGCATCTGAAGTCATGTGCAAACAGTCTTCAGAAATTACTCCTGTGGGTGGTTTACTCACAAAAGCAACAAGTTCAGCAAGTTAACTAAGTTTAACTGTTCCTTTTGTGAATAACGATAAGAATGATCTAATTACTGCTTTCTAGGCTCGGTTTGTGAGGAGGACCTGAGTGGCTTTTGGTTTTTGAAACTGCCTAGCTATAGCTGGATTTTCATAACAAGACATTCTAAAATGTTGAGGAAAACCTCCAGTCTGAGAGTCTGAATCCTTGCAAGGTTGTGATGGCTCCAGTGTCTCCTGGTCTTAATACCAGTGAACAATCTCATTTGGTGCCGTGCCAGTTACCAGCTGTTGAAGTAATGAAGATTTCTAACCATTGCCCATGGCAGTAGTTGATCTCTGAGGATGGATCATAAAAACAGTCCTGTGATTTAGTCTGCTATTGTCTACCCATGCTTGATTGCTGGATTTGAGAGCTCATTTACTTACTGTATAACTTACTCATAGTGACATCCCACAAAGTTTATGTGCAGAATGTAAATACATTTGCACGCTGCTGGGACATACACCAAGAGCGCTGTTACTACTGGACAAGGATCTCTGATGCTTTTAGAATTTCTGATAGAATATTCACCAGGATGAGTATGTTGCAGTGATGTAGATTTGTATTTTCCTCCTCAGTTTGGTCAGAGCAGGTGGTCTGTTTGAGAGTCAGGTACTCCAGAAATATTTTCATTTGTTTTTTAACTTAATTAAGTACTTGAGTAGTAAAAATGCCCACATAAAATGTATTTGAATCTGTATCTTTGGGGATTCTCATTTGAGTTTAAGGACAGTAGATACCCTGAAATGTCGTGTATGTTTCAGGACCTGAAAATGTGATGTTGGCATTGTGTTTATTTTCTGTCTGTGGGATTGAATCCAATGCTGCTTGTATGATGTCATGAGATTATTTTTTTCCTTTTAACCAACAGTCCTTTAGAAAGCCTCCTTTATGACTTTGCTTTCAAGTAAGACACTTGGGTTTTGATCCAAAACAGGTTCCTTTTTCCACTGTAAGGAGATACCTCTTTCCAAGTTACTTCTGTAGTTTCTGAAAGATATTTTTTAACAAATGAAGCACACCTTCTTGTGAATGTTCATTTCTAAGCCATTTATCTGTCAAGTTATTCAACATGCAAAAACTGAAGTTAGCACATGTTCATCAGGAAATTCCTTTAGATCCATTACCATTTTCTGTGATATTTCCAGGTGGTGGGCTGGTACAATTGCTGTGTGCTCTACTTTTTTTAAGAGGTTAGATGAAAGCTCCACATCAATATTCTAGAGTTTAAAGCTCTTAGTCTAGCCTGTTGGACTCCTTCACTTTGATCAAGACCAAAGGATCATCTGCTTGAGGCTTGGGATAGGGAGCCTGGGAATACTATGCACAGGAAAATTCTTTAAAACAAGGGGCTTTTTTTTTTCCTGTGTGGTTGTTTTACAACAGCAGAAATTACTTCTTGTGGCTTAAATTTGGCAGTCAAGGAATATTCTTTTTCAGTGCAAGCTGCCTCACTTCTACCAAGGAGCAGACCAATTTTCTGTAATTCTGTTGAGTTCAATTCAGACTGGAACTTCCTTGAGACCCCTGCCGCTGCAGTAGGACGGGGGGATTTGTCAGATGCTCTTTGTGCAGGAGATCAGTTCCCAGATAAGTTGAGGTGTTGCCAGCTATCATTATTGAGTGTTAGTCTTTACAAATCGGAAATGGGAAGTTTAATAACGTGATTTTTGAAGCTAGGGTGAGAATTTGAGTATGAATCTGTTCAGATCAACTCTTATCATCTATTAAATTTTGGACATAGGAAAACAGTGAGGTTTTCCTGGCTTGCTATTATATGTGCCACCGTGGTTTCTTGAGATAACTGTTTGA